ACTCCTAAACCTACCAATACTAGGGGGTGCATAATTTGGCAGGGTACAAATTTAGGCACTACACCGGTAAGCAAATGCATTCAAATAATCCGTCCAAAACAGCGCTAATATAAAGGAAACCAGGCTGATTACATCAGAGATTGCCGAGAGAACAGAGACTCGCGTTGCGTTTTCAGTGAATTTATATATATATATATGTGTCTTTATCACTATAATTATCATTTACACTATATATAAAATAAAAATGATTTATAATTTCTTCATTTGTATAGCAAGGTATTGTTCTGCATTTGACTCTTTTCTTACCTTGTAAGATGGAAGAAGTTCACTGATTGTCCTGAATTTGTGCCATTTGTGTTTTTCTGAATCTCTGCACACTAAACACACAGACTCCTTGTCCTCCACACAGAAGAGTTTGAGTTTCTCGCCATGCAAATCACAAACCTCCTCAACGTTCAAGAAGGACTCACACAGGTTCTTCAACACAAGATTTCCAGGAGGATCCGTTTTGGAGGATCTTCTCCTGCAGACCGGACACTCCCGAGTTCTCTTGCTCCTCCAGAAGTGTTGAAGACAGTCTTTACAGACGCTGTGACTGCATGACAGAAACACGGGAGATCTGAAGACCTCACAGCACACGGGACAAGACAGCTCTTCCACAGAGAGCGACTCCATTTCAGTTTGTAAGAACTCCAAAAATCCAACTCCGACATGAACACCTCAAGCCCTCTCATTTCCTCCTTGTTGTGCTCAGGTACTTGGTAGACTCGGCATGACAGGAACAAAGAAATAAAGCCACTTCCTGATATGTTTTGTAAGAGTGTGTTTATGATGATCCTGTTTGCATAATCAAACTGAATGCACTGCAAGGATCATGCAAGAAAACAGTGTGCAAAGACCTCACACCATAAAATATTAAACTAACTAAATTGACACAAGAATATTTTTAAATGACTAGTTTTTAATAGAAAACTATTTTCCCTCCATGCATGTGAGACCTGGTTATTCATTATGCATGCATTTGTAAAATATAATTTTTGACAGTTTATATGACATAACTATACATCAAAATGACAAACTGCCATTTTTACGATGTTACATACAGCCATACATTTTCATTTCATTCAGTTAGAAACCGTGCAAAAGTGTCTAAAATCATCTAGGCGTGAGAACTGAGAGCTGTTGCTATATTATATAAACATTTCATTATTTACATAAAAAAAAAGAGCAGTAAATATTTCAAATAGCTGAAAGGTTCACATGCAAACTCATTTTCAAACCCATACTTACATTTAAAAAGAGCAAAACAAACAACTAATTTACAAAAATATTCAAAAGGTTTACAGAATATCCAGTGCTAAAAATGTTGAACTCGTCTGATAATAGACATTTAAAATTACATGATCAAGAAACTACGAAATACATAAAAAAAATAACTCTTCATTGTCAGTATGAAAATAGTCCATGGGTGTCAGAAGCAATCAGGCCAAACCTTAAACGGTATGCAATACACAATGATGAGTTTTAACCAGTAGTGTGTCACATGATCTTACTGTGCTTGCATGCGATCTTTGAAAGAAATACAGATGTTTTAGCTGATACTGGTTCAGTGGTGTGTCTGATACAGTATCAGAACATACTGTGAACATAGTACGAGTAGTACGCTATTCCAAACATAAGCAGTGATGTCGAGACACAGTGGAATGATTAAGAGCAGATTTAAAGACAACATGAAATCAGTCCATTTACAGTCTTACTAACTCGTCCATATCTGACATAACTTATCTGTTCTGTTCATGTAACTAAAGTTCACATCATAACTTAACATGTCTCACCCAATTAAAGTCCTGGGGCCGGTTGCATAAAAGGTTTATACTAGTCTTACAAGTTAGTCATCTATTTTTGTTTCTTTAAGACTGGTCATATGTTTTTAATGTAGTCTACATTGAATACAAAAAATAAGATTGATTACTACTTGGATAACTGCTAGCTGGTCGTTAACACGCAGTCTTAACAAGTTTATGCAACTGGCCCCTGCCCTGTATTATTTCCCACTGAATAATAAAATAATACAATAAAACATTTAATATAGATTTTCAAATGTTTGCTTTTCATCTGACAATTTGTTGTGGAATGAAATACAAAAATAAACTTTTAAAAAAGAACATTTCTCAATTTTTTGCTATTCATCAGATAATAAATTATGTTGTCGATATAAAATACAAATATATTTAAACAAAACGGATTTACATTTTTTGCTTCTCATTGGATAATGGGTGATGTGGGATAAATAAAATAAGAAAATAAATACAAATGAATATATCTGTAAAATGTTTGCTTTTCATTGGATAATGGGTTATTATGTGGAATAAATAAAATAAGAAAATAAATAAAAATGAATATATTTGTAAATGTTTTCTTTTCATTGGATAATAGGTTATGCAGAATAAAATATAATTTATATTAAATCAGATAATGGGTAGGATGGGATAAATACAATAAGAAAAATATGTTTTTAAATAATAGCTTTTTTTATCAGATAATGGGTTTTGTTGAATTAAAAAAAAATTAAATTTGTGCATTTCATCAGATAATGAGTTATGTTGAATAAAATAAAATATATTAAATTGGATAATGGGTTGTGTGGGATAAATAAAATAAGAAAAAATATTTTTAAATGTCTGTTTTTCATTGGAAAAAATAACTATCTATCTATCTAAAAACAATATATTATTTCTAAAGGTTTGCTTTTCATCAGATTAACTTCCATTGTTTCACTTTCTGTTTCCCGTCACATTGCAGAAGTTAAAGGCATTGCAAATGCAGTTTCATGATGTCTTTAACTCAGTTTAGTTTATTTTACACAACCACTGATGACAAACTATAAAACCTATCAAATGTCCATGTTGTGATGATTTTCCCACACTAACATGGTCATGCTCTGCGGTAGGGAAAGAGGTCCATCTGTTGAATGCGGCTGATGTTGATGTTGTGGTTTAGTAGGCAGGTTTGTAGAGCAGCTGTCCACTGAAGAGTCTGCGCTTGAGCTCCTTCCACAGCAGGCTGCGCTCCCTCTGTGAACCCTTCATGAAGCCGCGGTTCTCCTGCGCTCGGCGCGACAGGTACGGGATGACCTCGTTCACCGGGCCGTACGGCACATACTTGTACACCGGGAATCCCGCCTGACCTGCTCACAAAAACACAAGCATGTCAACACCAGCATCAGAATCAAGACATCTGCTCCCTCCCACGCTGCTCTTCTCTCCACTCACCCAACGGGAAGCTGATCTGATCACACATCCCCAGCAGCTGTCCAAAGTAAACCTTATTCTCAGTGGGAGAGAGACTCGTCTCGTTCATTCTGTGCAGAAAAACACACGTTAGCGATAATCGATCTCTGATCGCGCCGAATGCATTTTGGCTCTGGACTCACTTTTCCAGCGTGAATTTGACCGTGTCCTCGTTGTGAGACGCCACCATGACGTTTGCCATCCTGTTGTGGTTGATCTCCTCCAGAATGTACTCCAGACACCTTACAGACAGAGATCAGGGCTCATGAAAGCTTCCAGGAATCGATCAGTGACAGATGAATAAAAGGAAGTAATCCTAAAGTATGTGCGTCTGTTTGTAGCAACGAGTCGAAACATTCCCCTCACAGTGTGCATGCAAATATTTACAGTGTTATTATGACGCATGTTAGTAACGTGACATTGATGGGCAAAACAAGCTTGGCACAGGCAAACAGGTGTGTTTGGTCACGAATACAGTATTCATCTGAGACAAGAGAGAGAAACTAAATTATATGTTACATTGTGTGGGGGAAATGTGCAGGATAGACACAGATGATTATATAATTCATCATGCAGAATGCCAACGGGCAGGGTTCAATCTCAGGTCATGAGAATTTACAGGTTTACATGTAATGTAAAGTAAAGAAAAAAAAAAGGTTGCTTTTCACCAGATAATGGTTTCTGTGGAATAACAAAAACAAATAAAATGTATATATTTCAACAATTAATATAATTTAAAATTAGATTTCCATTGTATAATGGGTTACGGGAAATAAAATAAAGTAAAATGTTTGCTCTTCAGTAGA